CACTTAATGCGTTATATAATAATTTACCTGGGGCTTTCATCAAAAAGATGCGCTTTCTCTAAATTTATTATTAAGAATAATTTTAATTAAATGATCCAAAATAATTATACATATATGATTTGCATTAAATAAGTATTTGAAACTTTTAACCAAATGTTAAAATTACGAAATAATCAGTGTATATTATTAATTAGCTACAAATCAAAGATGATTACAATTGAAATCCGATTGTGAAATTTATACAAGATTGTGTCTAATCAATTATATAGTATTGAAGTGATAATTATGTAAATACTACTTGATTGTATACATTGATGGTAGAGTCTTGTGGTAATTCGATAAGTCTTGAATGCATTATGTGTGCACACGTAAACTGTTCATCCGCGTTTGCTCGATAAAGTCAGTTGAAATTTCCATCCATTTGTCAGCAACGAGGTCACTTTCTCTGCAGAGGAAATTGTTGTAATCAAATCTTCGAGGGTGATTTATTAATACTCGTGAAACACTCTTCTAACCCAAACACGTTACGCAATCACCGACAATAAATGTGTGTTAATCATTTAATTCTATGTCAACCCGCAAATTCGAACCGAATCACAAATCATATTGAATAGTGAATAAATCATGAACACAATCCATGCAAACATTTGTGATTTATAGATGAATGCATATGACATGAATATAGGATTTACTGACATTTTTCTTTAATAAATAATATGTAAATATTATATTTTTTTTATAATTATACTGTTAAGTTTAGGAATTTATATTTGGTATTTTGGTTCTGATCTCTGAAAGCACAAAGGGAGCGGTTTTCAATAACATTTCAGGATTATAAAGGAAAATTGATTTCAGTAAAATTATTAATAAGCAATTAATTGTTTATGTTTGTATTACTAACATATTTTGATTATAATTATGTGCAAAACAACTTTATAATTGCAAATTATAATTTTATTTGGTTTATTAACGTTTTATCAAAAACACATGATTGGTATTTTTCGTGTTTGATTGATTAAAAAACATATGTTTACGTGATTGTTGTAGATGTATGTAATGTAAACGTGTTAATTGACATTTATGTGACTGTGAGTGAAGGTAATATGTAAATTGTTTCTATATGGCTGAAATTCAGGCAGATATAATTAACATAGTATATACACCAGTGAGTTTCCAAATTGAGTGTATCAAGTGGATGAACAACCTCAATCAATCATCCCCATTCGTTGATCCTCCACGCACTGGAGTAGTAATATAATTGTAATGTCGCATATTAACAGCAATGTATGATATATTACAAAATTACATAACTTTCACCGCATAAATTGATAATGTTGATATAGTAATTGTCCGAATCAGTAATTGTCGGAGGAAGTTAATCTGAAGATTGTTTCACTCGGCTTTATAACAAATGATCAAAATTTGGAAATTGGTTTGTTGGATGGGTTTGAGGGTTGAGATATATTTAAAGTTGGGCGTTTCTCGTTTAAGTGGATCACTTATTAATGAAAATCTCCTTTGTTAGTGGCGCAGTAGTAATCGTCGTAGTAAGTTATAAACGTACCCGGACCCCTCTCTTCAACCAGAAAGTTTCAATTTCGGCTGCAATTAGGATATTTCGGTTTAATTAATCCAACCGCACCCAAACGAAGTAAATAGGAAGGATGGTGGGAAGAAAGGGAAGCTGCATCAACAGGAGGAGCTTGGTAAAAATGTAATTGTTGGACGGTTCACCGGTGATCCCTCCCTAGGGGATCGATTAAAGTATTTTTCAAGATAATCCGGTTAAATCTTCGTTTCCCTTACAACTACATCTTCCATGTAAAAAGGATTGTGTACAAATAATTATATGCTGTTTTTTAACTGAAGCGTATATAAGAAGTGCCAAATAATACAATAGATTTTGTTGCCAGTAACATATTTCATGTATTGAATTAGACACATTTTGTACATGATTTCTTCGTTTATTATTTGAATATTTGAACAATGCAAAGTGCATTTTCTTATATAAATTATGTGAATTATTTTACGGGAAGCCGACTTTACCAATTTCATAACTAATTCATCACGCAAAGTACAACAATTTTAGAATTTGTAGTGACAGTTCATATTTCATTGATAGTTACAAAATAAAGTATGGACTTTAAAGATTACTAAGAAACATTAATTTAATTTTAAGTTTTGAGATTTTCAACTTTTTTAAAATATCTTTTCTGACTCTCTAAACGTTTATCTTAATTCATTTACTTATTTCTATAGATTTTAAACCTATTAAACAAAAAAGTTTTACATTTTTTGCCAATGTTGTTATATAATTTATTTTTAAATTTACCCTCGACATAGACTAATAAATGTTATTAATTTCTATTACATGAATTAAGTTTCATATAGTTGAAAAAAACAAAGAAAAGGAAAACAAATCCATGTAATTGAATGTTTAAGGAAATACAATTTCTTTAAAAACATTGAAAAGTTGGTGTGATTTAATATCAGATCTTGTAAAGAATGCACACTCTTATCTTTACGCTCGTTTTTGTGTGCTCAATGGCTTGTTAAAACGTTTTTCTTCAGCTCGATACGCCTCCAGAGAACGTGTTCTAGAATCGATCTCGTGTTAACTAAATTTTAACCGAATTCTAGGGTCTTTGTCCATTTATAATTCACGTTAAGCTTGTCTCACAGATCATGTACATGGTTACATGCAATCTATTATTCAAAACTATAGCTATTACTGAACGTTTCACTATTTACAACTATAGTAAGTTTTTGTTTAATTATCTAATCTTATATATTTAATTTCCATTTTTCAATATTCAATTCAGGTGTTAAATTAATTTAAATTCTAAAACATATTTGAGACATTCGAAGTAATCTTTATATATTATGTTGTTTCTCTCGATTGATTGTCCCAGGAGCCCCATGTTTGTGATGGATCAATGAACACAATGATGCTTGTAAAGCTCTTCAATTGGAACTAATTTTATGTAATTATGTTCGATAGTTTCCCATAATTGTACGTGCTTACATGCTTAAATAAGTTTTAGTATGACTATATACATTTTTCGATTCTTGCTGGTTTTCACGTATTCACGCATTCTTTTGGTCATAGTAAAAATATCTATGGTCTCGGCACTGGTCAATTATTTTTTTGTTTTAGAAGTCTTAGTACTATTGGTAGATAAAATCAGATTGTTCTTATGTGAACTTTTTAGAATAAACTAAAATATAAAAAAGAAAAACTAGTCCATTAATAAGTATTTTGGTCAGTCCGTTTAATTAAAAGAAATATAACAATGAAATTCAACAGCTTTTGCAAAATTCACACATCCTTCTTCCTGGAATCCATTTAACACAAGTCTTTTAATTAATCGCACCGTGCAGCAAATTTCATTTAATTTGAGGCAATAAACTGCACATTATTGGAACCATCATCGCACGTCTTCCAAACCTGACATTTGTCCTTTTCGGTCGTCCTATATAATCTGGAAACGAAAGGAACAATGTACAATTCCAGCTGGCTTTAATGAATTTCCGAATTAACGAGTTTTTAAACTCACTGCGAATTACTCTCTTTTTCGCTAATTACTTTCAGACAAAATGGAGCTACTTTTAATTTCAGATACATAATTCGTTTGAAAGAAGGTGATTCGTGCTGAAAATATTCGAGGTGGAAAAAAAGAAACAAGAAAGTAAAAGTGTAGGTGTCTGAGCGATTCTTCGGCTTAGATTGTATTCCCATTCCTCAATTTTCAAAGTGAACGATCGTGCGTATAAAAAATTACCGAAAACAAATTTTAATTATAATTATGTAATCAAGTGATGTTGAATAATGCAAAAAGAGATCGAGAAAGGAACAACTTGAAAGGGTTATTTTTTTTTGTTTATTTCGATAAGTACGTAAAATAAAAAGAAAGCTGTTTAAAATTTATAAATAAATTTAATTTAAACAAAAATACAGAGTTTAGCATTGGATCTACTCAATCCATTATTCACTAAAATGAAAAATACTGCTTTTTTGAGCGTTTTATTTATTGGATAAAATCACAGCAATGTAGTCACATTTCCCAAACATCCTGCTTTCATATATATCCTTTGTATCCATTAAATCTATTATAATTTACGAAGAAATCACTAAAAAGTGAAAACACTGCTTTGTCGAGAACAGTGAGTTTCAACTAGATTCAAGTTACTTGTTTCAGTTGATTTTCAAGGAAAATGTATGATTCTTTAATTAAAATGTCAATAACTTATTAATCAACTAAATTTTTCATGAAATTATTGAGAATTGTATGAAAATAAATAACAAAAATAATAATATTGCAACCTTGTAAATGTTTGTACCTGAATACAGTAATGTTAAAAGCGTATAGAAACGTTTCGCTTTGTTTTTGTGCGAAACAGATTTTATTCTAGTTTGCAGATTTGAAATGTCACTCAAGATTGTATCATAAAAATGTAAAGCCTGTCATGGACAAAACAATAAATGATTCGACAAAACTGGAAAAAAGATGGAACAAAGAATGGAAAACATGAGCCGCGTTTAAATTCCCGGGTTTAAACATAAGAATATCTCGTATCGATTGCGTTTAAAAATTACTTGCGAAATGGTAAACAAAAAACCGGTGACAACGGCAGATGAATAATTGCCTACATCCATTTCTTGCACATAAATAACGACGTGCCGGTTTCCTCTCAAGCTCACTTTATTCGCAGGTTCGTATTTAAAAATAATAGCGTTCAAGTATAGGCTGAAATTTATTTGTTCTTTATTTAACTGTTTATTATTATTAAATTGTTAAATTATATTTACAATATTCAAATAAAAATGTACTAATTTACAAATAAGTTTATGTACACGAAATTTGTTTATGCATTCTGAAGCTACACCTCGATACTTAAAAAATCCCGAGCGATTTAGCAGAAGGGACAAAGATCTGCCACTGAGTTTAACAGTAATGTAATTAGGGAAACACCATGAAGTTTATTCTGAAAAGAGGGGCTTAGTTACTTAAAGTTTGGAAACCACTGCCTGAAAACAAAAATCAAGTATGTAACAGAATTTGCTGTTTGTTATTAATGGAGTAATAATTTTGACGGAACAGAATTCCACCAACTGGAATTTTAACTAGTATTTTTTGTAAGGAAGGTGTAGACCTAACTAATATAGCTACAGATACTTCCCATATTTTTAGACATACCTTTCAAGTTACTGAAAATACAGTAAGATTTACTACATCAGCTCACCTTTAACTTAAGAAAAGTTAGCATTATTAGTGTTAGAAAATAATTATTAATTAAAAAACTATAATAGTAAATTATGTCTATTTTTATGATTCAATAAGAAGTTATATTAATAATAATAAACATTTACTGTAAATGTTTACAATACATCCCTGTAATTGATCAATTGTTGCTCTATTTGTAATTGAAAAGAGTATCAATGTATGTTTTGATAATTTGTAAACATAATACAATCAACCTGTAAACAATTGTAGCACTTTTTTATTGGTGGTATTTTCTTTAAGGCGTGCGGACATTTACAGTCTATTTTCGCTGCTCTCGCATCGATGTGCATTTTATGGAGCATGTGATATGTCCAGAATGCCGGATCCGTGATCAGAATCTCATACAGGATGTTCGTCCTTCTTGCGTTGACAAAACATTCAGGATCGCGCTTTTCCAGCGCGTGACTCGCTTCTACATTACGTGTCTATGTAAACTTCTGAGAGTCTCATGTTTGTGACATATGGAAGATGTGAATATGTAACCTTTAGAAATCAATAATCTTTAATAGGATTTAAACATTGTAACTATTAACAATTTTGTTATTGAACCTGACTTAGCGCCTTGTGATTTCTGGCTGTTTCCAAAAATAAAATAAAGAAAGTAAAAAGTCTTCAGATCCAATGTATAGATCATTAATTAAAAGTTGAGAAGCTCCAAAAAGCCGATTTTGAGGACTGTTTTGAAAGGTGGCTCGGCTCTACTGACTTAAGAAATGTATTGAAATAATTGGAAATTCTGTAGAGAAATTACAAAAGGATGAAAAATAAAAATATTAAAATAAAATTGTTTTTATTTTGTTTTTTTTTCAGCCACTCGTACATAGAAATTAAACTCTAATTGAAGCCAGATTTTCTAATTTAAATTTATCCAAATATATTTCCGCAGTTGAATTATATTAAAGTTCCTTTGGAATGTTTGGAGCTCGCCGTAAGGATTGAGGAATTCTTTGAAATACTCGGACGAGAATATTGAGAATGCAGTTTCAACGCATTTTAAACTTATATACCTTTCCACTTATATATCACGACTGCTTGTGTATTTTCATTACGCAATCAACGATTAGTTCTAATTCAATTATATATTTGAAATATAATAATAATTTTTCTTCTATATATTATTTATATCAGGTTTCCTTTGGTAAATAGATTGTTGCAAAATCAAACATTTATGTTTAAAATGCGTCAATGAAATGCAATTACTGAGTGCAAATTCACGTTTAGTAATAGATAATACTTAATTCCACTGTAGCAGTAATATCAATTTGAATATAATTACAGTAATAAGTAAAGATAATATTGTGTACATAACAGTTTCTTGCTGTTCTGTTAATGCGATATTAAAGTCCTAGTTTGAAGCAGAACCTGTAAATTTATACAAATTTGAGAAATTTACAAATCACATACACAAACTTGATACAAATAAAAAACTGTCATGTCCCAGGGTTAAAAAATCCTTGGACACCGTAGATTATCTCGTTGCGGAGTCTTATGAATTTTAAATGCAATATTCTTACAATACAATAGTTGATCTCAGGAATTATTACTAAGAGTTACATTCTCCTCTTAAGTTAGAATTTATGAAGTAAGTGCTCTTTCTTGGATCAACTTCTCAGTTCGGTTAACTAGGACTTCCTCTCTATTCGATCCCCTGACTAAGACTAAATTATATAATACAAAAATGTGTTCATTTCAAAAAGGGGCTGCGTGGGAGAAAAGGGTTTGATACAAATATTGATTACCACCAATTGATTAAGTGGTGATACAAATAGACGCAACTATGCGATTTTATGTATAACCGTCATTCGGAATATTCCACAAGTTATTCTAAATAATCACGTACAAGTATCCGTTTGTACATTTGATAGATACGTTAAATATAATTAAGAGGAAAGTCATGGCCCTAACAAATATACATATTAGTTATACAATAGATGACAATAAATTAGTCGGCCACAACAAAACATCAAAAATATGTTCTTAATTCAGTTTAATTTTGCAAAATTATAAATAGTAAGTAAAGTAAAATTGAATAGATTTTATATTGAGTGGAAACCATTAGTCAGATAATAATATTTTCTTATGAAGTTAGCTACTATTTATTTTTTCAATATAAATGTTTACACTCACATATAGAAAAAAATATATTTCTTTCGTCCTAAATAAAGCAGATACATTTGAAATATCCACTGAAAGGAATATTGCGTTCACGGTTCAAATAGCTGATAAAAAAATCAAAGAGAATGGGTCGAGGGGGAAGATATAAAAAGGCCGAAACGGTTGTATCTTATATTTAGAAATATGGTCTCGACGGCTTCAATAAAATACTTTCCTTTTTAAAAGAACGCAGTAATGATGAACACGCGTGCATTTGACGTGCAATTAAATACTATTAATCAATCATTAATGTACGTTTATACACTATACAATGTATAATATAAATACAATTATCCAAAAAGAAAAAATCAATTAAAACTAAGTAAATATAATAGAACTTTAACCCTTAAATATCAATGTATCTATTGTCGTAGCCGATCATTTTATTATCATCTATTGTATAATAAATATGTATATTTGTTAGATCTACCACTTTCCTCTTAATTATTACAAATCATATTTTACGTATCCATCAAATCTACTCCTTTTTGATATGGACACATTTTTTGTATTATATAATTTAGTCTTAGTTACAGGGCCCAACAAAGAAGATAGTCTTAGTTGAAGGGTTGAAGTGCGAACTTGGTGTTTCTTGGAGAGTCCAGAGAAGAACCCTTGCTTCGTAATTATTAATTTAAGAAGTGAATGTAACTTTTAGTCAATAATTCATGAGATCAACTATTATATAGTTGAATTCTCAATAAAAACTCTGATGTGTATAATAAAACTAATTAAGAATATTGCATTTAATATTCATAAACCCCTCTAAGACTAGAGATAATCTACGGTGTCCAGAGATTCTTAATTCCGGGACACTACACAATTACAGCCAGAAAGATAATTTTAAAAAATCACAATACATATTTTATATATAACCTTTTATAATGGTAACATACATACAGCCAAATATTAAAAATAAACTAATTGCAAGTGTACAATTCGATTTAAAAGTCCGGTATCAAATTTGATACCGGTAAATTATAGTAAGGCCCCAGTTCTTGTACAAAAATGTTTTTATTTTTGAGTATAAATTCAGTTCCCAAACAGAATTTTGGTTAAGTATTTAGGAACTAATTATGTTCGAAAACTAAGATATTATATAAACAAAAGTATAAAGTAAATTAGTTACTATATTTATTAAGATACAAAAATTATACCATAATAAATTACAAACACAATAAATAAATTACAAACATAAATCAGTCTTAAATATATATCATATTTAAATTACTTATCCTAATTTTAATGAAAATCAATCATTTTTTTGATTGATTCAAATATATCTTTTGATAATTTGTATTTGATACTCTTATCAGTTTGCAATAACATCCTGTGTCCCCATTCTTGAAAATTGGTAGCCTGAACTACATTCGTGAACTTATCCTTGTATATCCAAGAGGCTTGATAAAATATTTGTTTGGTAAATTTGGGACAAGAACATGGAACCTTGGTGCTTATAGGATACCTACAAAAAATAAGATTAACGATAAGAATTAAGATATTTTTCGATTATTTACTGGTAGAGTGGCATAGGGACAAACTGTTGGAGAGATCTGATGGAATTTGTCGTACTCTGAGAGATTGTCATTAACATAACAACATCGATTAGTTTTTCTTCATCCATGTTTTGAAGCGCACCAAATAATTGGTTATTGTACTCTTCTAAATCAGTTCCTACAGATATGATATTCCAAATATATGAAGCCAAAGCAATTGGTGAACTCGACAATGTAATACCTGCAAATTGACATATTTTATTATAATTTACTTATTAACTTATGAATTATTTACTTAAAGAGTCCAGATTAATAAAATTTCCTTGCATGTAGTTTAAGAAATAAACCATTTTGTTGAAAGATTTCCACATATCGTATTTCGATTTATCCGCGTTGATTACTTTATTAACAATTGTTTCTGAAGCATATTTCACTAAGCTTATCTTCCTGAGAGATAAACACATGGTGTTATACAATCCCATAACTTTATCCGGATATAAAATTGCCATATCCGTGCCAATAAATGATCCAACCCCTTGCCCAAATACATAAAACCTATCGATGTTCAAGCGCTTCATCAAATTCTTGAAAAGCGTTGCCACATGAACCGTTGCCCTATCCTTCATTGGATCCGACATGAAATGTCCGGGCAAAGAAGGTATTATCAATTCGAACGATACGTCGCCGTTTCCGCTCGTCAGCTGCGGTACAATGTCGTAGAAGTATGCAAAACTTTCGGGCCAACCGTGCAACATCAAAAGAGGCACTGTTTTATTGCTCGTCTCTGGTTTTACGTGGACGAAATGAATCTGAAGCCCTTGGACGATTGTAGTGTATTGTGGATATTGATTGAAGTACACTTCGCGTGTTCTCCAGTCGTATTTTTCTCTCCAATATTTAATAACATGTTGTTATTAGACTGTTAATATCCAGAGGCGAAGTATCGCCGAATGTTTAACTTGCGAGAAAACTGTGTTCACAATCTGAAAACATAAATATTTTTCATTTTAACTTAATGCTGCAATATCTTCACAACTGAATTATTTATGTCTAAATAATAAAAATATACAAAAAATATCAGATGTTAGAAAAGTTAAGCATAACATAATAATTGGATAGATGATAGAAAGTTTTATTAACTGCTATAAAAATAAGTCTTAACATTATATCAATTTACACACATTTTTTGTTTAAAACTTATCTTATAAGTAAACATATGTTAAATACATGTTAAATTACCATACTAATGATAGTAGTATACATATATGGTTCTTGTTTTTCTTTCTGATTGGTCAGAGTTTTTCATTTTTTAACGTTAATATTATTAAAAGATTCAATTCTAATTATGAGTAAAAATCAAGAGAGTTTCAAATTAACTAAATATTGTTTTAATTTAATTTTATAATAATTTTATAGTTATTTCAATAAAAACAAATATATGAATGAACT